TATTCAATTTCTTTTGTAGAGAAGCTTTGAAGTTGATGCCAGTGACACTCCTCATGAACTCATCTTTGCTGATGAGGCAGGATTTAATCTTACCGAGGAGAAAGGAGAAGAACATAACTGGCCACTGGGCCACTGTGAATGTCCCTGGCCAGCAAGGAGGAAATGTGACCATACGCCACCATGCCACCCTCCTTCCATACAACATCATGCCATCCTCGGTCCATACACCATCATGCCACTCTTGGTCCATACAGCACCATGCTTCTGCGAGATCATGTATACCTACTAGACCAAGGGTAGGCAACCCTAGTCCTGTAGTGCCGGTATCCAGCAGGTTTTATGTTCTACCTGATGATTTACTATCTGCCTGAGATCAGGTGTAGTTCATCACAGACCAGGTAGGATGGAAAACCTACTGGATACTGGCATTCAAGGATCAGGGTTGCCTACCTCTGGACTAGACCAAAGGGACCCAGCACAACCAGAGCAACCATGCTACACTGCCATTTGGGACAGTGTCAGTTTCCACTGGGTTGATATAGTTCACAAACTGACTGGTTCACAAACAACCGAAGAATCAGCAACATCCAACTTTCTACCTGCATATGCTCCCTTCTTAAACCCCATGGAGGAATTTTGTTGGCATGCCGGTGCAGGGCCTTTTACAGAGACCCCTACATCTGTGCTGATCTCCTCCAGGCCGTGGAGGAAGCTTGTTTATATATTATGGTTGAGGCTTGCCAGGGGTGGGTAAGGCATACAAGGGTTTTTTTCTCCCAGCTGCCCGTGATGTTGATGAAAATCTCTGGCCTGACCCAGACCAGAGAGAGAATGCTGAAGTAGAATTAATGTGATTTCTTTCTTTAGATACTTTCCCCATTGGTTTACAGTATATTAGTAAATATATGTATTCTATCAGTTGCATATTTTACAGTTCCTTTACTTTTTCCACTCGATTTCAATTTGTTTTACTATAGTACACTGAAGAATAAATAAACAGAATAGTTTACATGCGTCATGTCTTTATATTGTGCTCTTCATGTACAGAGTTTTGAGTGGAGGTTCGGAGTTTGTGATGATGAGTGTGCATTTGTGTTTTGAGTTTTGAGAAGTGGAGCATAATTTCAAGAAATTGCCTTGGCAATCAAGAAAAACTGTAACCTCACTAAAAGTAGATGGGGATGTAACATTAGTGGACAGTGTGAAAGTCCCTGGGCAAGAGGGAGGACAATGTGTGCAGCCATAAAATCAACATGGGATTCTGCACTTCCATGCCACTCTGAGTCCCAGTGGAGGACAGGGTTCAGCTAATTTGCTAACCGCTAATTAGCGAAGCTAATATAATAAAAGTTAGCGGTTACTGTTAGCTTCCTCGAATTTTTTAAAGTGGTTCATTGGTTTAATGTCATCAAATTAAACTTTGGAGTTAGCCGATTAGCGGTTCTCAAAGCTAAATTTTCAGTTAGCTGTGCCCACCACTGCTGGGCCCCTATAACAGTTCTTCTCAGTCCGGTCTTCAGGGAACCCCAGCTGGTCCACGCTTTCGCTCCTTCCCAGTTCGCTGCCAGACAGTCCATGTTTTTGCTCCCTCCTAGTTCTTTGTTTAAACTAGGTTATACTTTGCTATGATTTCATACTTTTACCATATTTACACTAGTGTTTGTTACAGTACTGTTTGAGCATCAATTTTTCATACCATTTTACTGTATGCGAATGTGAATTTGAGAAAATAAATGTGTGAGAATTGGTCTTGTTCATGGTACAACTTTACAGTTTCATATTGGTTGTTGACTGCTGAAGTACCTACATAAGCTTGCAATATACGGCAATATACGGCTTCTGGAGTAATGTCGTGAATTGATCAGAGTTATGCGTTGTGGTCATTCTGTGTGTGATTATGTTTGCTTGTGTCATCACAGTGAAATGTTTGGTTTCAATGGAAGAGCGAATGATTTTCGCCTTTGGGTTGTGTGTTTGGGATTTGGACGAACGAGTGAGATGTTTTGAGATTCTGTTTAAAACCGAGAACATGATGGCACATTCAGTGAAATGTGTTTAAGCAATCGAGAAAAACTGTAAAATACTCTTGTGCTGATAGGACCATAAACTTCAAGTGGATGGTGTTAAAATATTTCACAGTTTCATAGGCAACATGACATCATTTATCAATATTGGGTAAAATGTTTGAAGAAATCCTAGCATTTCAGAACATTTAATAATGGTGTGAGCAATTTTTGGATTTCCATTATTTAATAGGATTAATATGTCACGTCTTATAATAACATTATTCCCTATTGTATTATTTATATGCAGAACCTTGTATATCATTCAACCATTTAGTTGAGGTTTTGGGTGGTTGTAATGTCCAATGTCAGAGTGGCATAGCATTAAATATGCAAACAGGTAATGTCATGTACCAGATGGGCATACCCTGCACCTTTATACCCTAAGCTCATCCTACACCCTAAGAGTTATCCTATACCCTAAGGTCACTTTACACCCTAATGGTCACCCTGTGCCCTAAGGTCACTTTACACCCTAAGAGTTACCCTATACCAGTGGTCTCCGACTCCGGTCCTGGAGTTGCTGTGAGTACTATCCAGTAAGTTTTCTGTCCTACCTGGCTTCTGATGAGCCACACCTGCTCCTGGGATTTATGTGAGAACAGGTGTGGCTCATCAGATGCTGGGTATGATAGAAAACCTACTGGTTAGTAGCTCTCCAGGACCGGAGTTGGAGACCCCTGCCCTATACCCTAAGGTCACTTTACACCCTAAGGGTCACCTTGTGCCCTAAGGTCACCCGACACCCTACGAGTCCCGCTACACCCTAAAGTTACCCTACACCAGGGGTAGGAAGCCCTGATCCAGGAGTGCTGGAATCCAGCAGATTTTTTATCCTACGTGATGAGATACTATCTGTCTGAGATCAGGTGTGGTTCATCACAAACCAGGTAGGACAGAAAACCTGATAGATATCAGCACACTAGGATAATGGTTGCCTGCCCCTGCTCTACACTCTAATTATAAACAGTTCAGTAATTTAATTGGTACAGTACTGTAATTTGAAAAGCATTTGAAACAGCTGTACTGTATTTTGAAATCCTCAATAAAATTAAGTAAATAGCGATGCTGTCTGTTATATTACCTTTTATTTGTGTAATAAATATACAAATGTCAATTAGATGATAATCTGCCTGAGACATAAAGAAGAAAAATAATAATCATCCGCTTATAGTGGTCAGTTTCACCCAGACAGACGTGATCACTATAAGCAGTTTCCACTGTATCAGTAATTGTTAATTTGGTTAAATACATTAAAAAACACAGTACGGTATGTTGTTAAATACTGTTAGATGTTAATTCTTATGACTGCTACAGAGACTGGACGTGTGGCTGCATTAATGCTGCCATCGCCCAGCATTAGTAGAAAGTATCGTACAGCATAGGACTAGCCCAGGAACAGATTGGAATTCAAAGCAGACTACCGAATGTGCGTCACTATCGCACAATCGTAAAGCCGAAATACCCTAAGTCACACTATCGTAAAGCAAGGAGCGTCTGTTGCAATTGCACTTGGAGGCTGGCTACCAACAATGTCTACAGAACAGAGGGGTACTTTGAAACTTTTTCCGTGTTGCACTACTTTGGGAGAGTTTTTTGTAATCTTTAATTTTTTTAATTTGTTAGTACTTTGCTCCACACTGTGATTGTAGCTTGCTTTTTCCAGCTCTTCTTTAATTTCTGCACAATTAATTTCACTTTTCTAAATGATTTTCTAACTTACATTGAACTTCTGGTGACTACCAGATTGCCAATAAAGCATTTGTCTCATCAGTCAACCGTTAATTGTATTTCTCCTCTGTAGCATCAAAGTCCATGGTCATGTTTTGAGCAAATGCAGTTCTGCTGAACTATAAAGCGCGTTGTAGACCCTTCCCACATGCCGACATCACAGGTTACTAGTTTTAGATCAGCAGTTCTGTGGCACTGGGCCAGAGCCAGTTTTTAAGGTGCTGCACCAGTTAACTGACAATGTAAAAGCGCAGAACCAGTTCAAAATTAGCGATTGACTAGGGACAAGCACAATGTAGGTGGATATTGGGCTATAGGAGTCACCCTATATCCTAAGATCAGTCTACACCTTAAGAGTCACACTACATCCCTTGATCAGCCTATACCCTAAGAGTCACCAAATACCATAAGGTCAGTCTACATCCTAAAAGTCCCCCTACATCCTAAGATCATGTGGAATAGATGGACATGGAGACCAAAGGAGACCCATGCCTTGATGGGGAGAACATTTTGACACACAGAGATAAATTCAAACCTGTAATGCTGGAGAATTGACCAGTTCTACCCACATATCTATTCCACAAACTTCTTATTTGCTTACTGTAACTTATTTTTCTCACAGCTGGATCACTGTCTCCCTGAAAAAAGACCTGCTGGGTCATTGGGATCCTAACTGATGTTGGAAGAGTGAGTCTGCGTGTGAGTGACCCTGAAAGACAGCCAGAAAAAAGACCACAGTGTATTTATCAGACATACTTTCCATGATCATTTTTGAGCCTCTGTGTGTGAATTGGCCGTTTTCCTAGAATGCTGCAGATTTGTTGACCAACAGCAGGATAGCGGCATCCAGGCAAACATATGCACCAATCCTGACAGGCTAACGGAAGATGGAGAGGCCGTCTTTTGGCGAGAACGCGACGGCTCCCGCTGGCTCCGCGGGGTAACGGGCAGGACATCTGCGCTATCATTAGCTGCCTCCGACGGGGAGCCCAGCACTCCCGCATGCTAACTACGACACCAAGCCCAAAACAGCGAAGAGCAGTGGAAGGATCAGCAACACAGCTGCTCAACTGCTCGGTGCAAACTTCTCCATCTCCTTTGAGGCGGCCAGGTGGCTCCATCAGATCACATGAAACCATCCAGTATGCGAAAACCCGTCCCCCCAGGTCTCTCCTGCTCCTTCGGGGCTGCCATCCACCCACTCACCTTTGAAGTTGGGTCTGATCCGGGCATCATATCCAGATGTTCTCCCCATGAGCTTGTCCAGGAAATCAGATGGGGACATGGGCTTTAAGGTTGTCCTGTTTGGGGACTTTATCTCCTCTTTACAGGAACCTGGCCTGCCGTAATGGAGGAGGAAGAAGAGAAGAAGGAAGCAAGACAGAGGGGTGGAAGAAAAAGAGAAGAGAACAAGGTCACAAATCAAACTGAGGACCCGGTTATTGCAGGATGGTTCCTGAAATCTGCAGAACTGTGGAGCAAACTGAATCCTGCCTTAATCACGGCGGCTCAGAGAGGGGAAGATGTGGGCTGTCCAAATGCCCCGAGGGTGCCAGGCCGTCAGGCGGACAGTTCAATCCAGACATGGTGGATAGCTTGGGGGAGGGGGGCTCTGAGTCCTTCCCGCCAGAGCTGCAGGGGCCACGCTTTGACACGGCTCAGCCATGGCCCCCCTGCCTAAATCCTCCCTAAAAGTAAAAGCTTATGAACCTGCTAACACCATTCCGTACCCAGTATCCATAGAAACCGCAATGTCCTTCCAAAAACCGTGCCTGGCCGTGTCCCTCGCGCGTGCGGTTTGTTGACTTTATGCACTATAGCCAGGAGTTTGTTTGGATGGCACCAGGAACCTAGAGACTGAGTGGTTTGCGACATTCTACCAGCTTGGAAAACGTCCAGGCCAAGCCTGCAACTAATACCCCCAATGGTAATGCTCCAGAAGGAAGACTGCCCAGGAACTCTAGTTAATATATGTGGCTATGAAAAGAACCAATTCTAGGAATACTGGGGCTATTTGAATGAATAATAATTAACAGTTTCATCAATAAGTCCTGGATATCCCTTCATGCTTCTGTCATTACTGGCTTGGAAAGAATCTTTAGGTAGCTGGTCTGCACAACTACTACAAAGTTAGCTCTAGACAGACTGTCATTTCCCGGTTACAACTGACTAGCAGTGACGTCTAGGGTGTTGATTGCTCAGGGGTATAAAACCAATATTCTCAATGCTTCAAGGGTCTTACGTTCATAAAAGTCAACTTTAAATATGCAGTGAGTACCTAGCACCAGGGGCGCAGTAAGGGGGAGGAAAGCTAGGACGATTCCAAGGGCCCCTGAGTGACAGGGGCCCTAAAAAATTAGGAAAATAACTGGATTGGTTTGGACTGGGGGGCCTAATATCATATACTTTCATGGGGCCCAAAATCTCTAGCAACGCCCCTGCCTAGCACTGTACCTCAACGCCAGTAATTGTGAAAATAAGCGAGGAAGACAGCATGAGGGAATTGCAGTACTTGTTTCATCAACACTCCTATGAAGGTTTAATGTACCTCTGATGTTGTCCTGTAAAATATGTTCCATACACCCAGCTGTGTTAAGTCACCAGGTCGCACTGCGTAACAGTATGGAGAGCGGGCGCAAAAAAGCTGCCGCTGGCTGCTCAGCGTGATCGGCGATGAAAAGATCCCAGCATCCCTGACAGAAAACAAGCATTAGCCTCAGCGGCGGTACCTCCAGGGGCCCCGTGACTTATCACCGTGACCCAGCTCCGATGGCTTCTTTAAGAAGAGAAAATGAAGAATTTGGTTTCTAGCTGCTAATCTCTCCGGATGAGATGCAAATCGAGCTCCGGGTGAGAGACGCCGGAGTCAGCAGGCAGTCAAGCGTCTCGCATTAGTGATTGAAGACTGACGCGCAGACATGATGGAAAAGCGGTCTTTTGGCTAAACTACAATTAGCAAGAAATTGAATTTGTCACCAAAAGACTGTGGTTCAAATCCCCATGACCTGACCTCTCTGGGCTGTTAATAATCAGCTTCAAAAGCCCATAACAATCAGAATTTCTTGTCTAAACTTCTATTAATGGTAATGGGTATATGTGGAATAGAATAGCAATACTTCATTCGCCTTTATGGGGAAACTAAATAGTTTTCTCACATCCTGTGTTACTCTCCATGAGACACACAGACATATATAGAGGTGAGAACCATTTTTGGGGTCAGGAGTTCAAACCTGTATATATAGACATATCTTCTTTTAACAGTGGAAAATTTGTGATGCTGTTAGCTAATCTTTAAGGGTGTCACAGCTGAGCACAGATGACCTGCGCTCTTCTCAGGAGCAGGACAGATATTTCCAGGAGCGGGAAGCTACTCCCAGTTATGCCGAGTGAGAATGAGACCAGTGCTTGGATGACATTTTTCAAGACAACGACAGGCACTCTGTCAGATGAGGGGTGCAGGGGGGTCTGGAACGGGAACGGCTGCCGCATGGCTTCTCTTTGGCACCAGAAGGGGAAGGGCTCCTTGCCTCCCCACCCGGGGAAGTCTCTTTCACCTCCCAGTCTGTCTTTCATCAGCCATCCATAATTTGGCAGTCAAACTTTTAACTTTTCCCTGCCCCTCTACTCCTGTGTACAGACCGCTGGGACTGATCTGGGGAATCCCATCAGAAAGGGTCTAGCTTTGGTGTTTTAAAGGGAAAACAGCCAGCCTGCTTTAATGAGATGGCCACAGCACACAAACTAATTCCCCCTGCATCATGGACCGCACATAAACCATCAGATGGCAAACGATACCAGCCGTCAGGCCCGGGTTTGGGCCACGTGTGATGTTCGGTGAGTGCGTGCTTGCCTGATTATGCTCGTTGTGAGGGTCCCTCAGCTCAGGATGGAGAACGGAACCATGCGATACGGGGGTTTGATTTTAATTTCTTCAGGCTGTGGGCCACGGACACAATGAGTGTGAAGCAAGCTGAGAAATACATTTCGGTTGACAATAAGAGAAAAAATACATCAGTGAGGGACTCCCAAGGTACCAAAGTGCAACAACATTGTGATTACAAATCATTACAAAAATAGGGAAAAAAGTCAGCCAGGCCCAGGGGTGGTGTAAGAATCCCTATTCTGCATCTAATTTCAGGGTTTTTCAGGGTTTAAACCACCCAACCATCCATCTTCGAACCATTTATCCTGGCCGGGGTCACGGTGAGCTTGGAGTCTCTCCCAGGCAGAGGTACACCCAGGACGGGATACCAGGCTTAAATTACATCTAATAAAAACGTCCATGTTGCTGAGGACCTTCTTTGGCAACCATTAAGCACTCTGACTTGCAGCATAAAATAAACTAAAACAGTCCGGGGCAAATAAAGAGCTTTTCCTTTGGATTGACGCAGCTGTGTCTGATTTAGCCTGCATTTCGCTTGCCAAGGACAAAACATGACAAACGTGACATTAATTTGCAGGCCCAGGCGCTGGCTGGGTCCCTGGGAAATCGGCGCAGTTGTGTCTGGTGGCATAACAGCCGTTGGCATTTGAAACAACCATTGGTGGTACTCTAGGGTGTGCTTAATCTGCTTTTACAAGCTTCCCGTCAAATAACCCAACAAGGCAACTTTTCCCTTAACGCTGTCAAGCCTCCCCCCAGCCCGTCCCTGTTATGCAAGCTCGAAAAACAGTCAAGGACAAAGCAGTAGCGTCAGACTAGCTGATTTAGTCTGAGGCCGGGATTCATGGCCGCCCTGTTTGCAACGCTCGTCACCACATTGTTGCCACACTTATTTCCTTACTCCTCTTGAAATATTGACACTAGGGTCTCATTTTATGCAACTGCCTGCTTTACCGAAGATTTTGTGCAGGAGGGCAGCTCAACTGTCATTTCAAATGAAACATAAATTCAGAATCTGGTCAATTTTTATATTGCCTCAGCGGAAGCCGGGAACCCTTTCCGGGACCGATTTTTTATGTGACTGTAACACCGCATAGGATTCATGTCCATATGTGAGTGTTTCAGTCTCACCGGAGAACCTTTCGCATGGGGTCACGGAGTCACGGCAGACGCAGCAAACAGCCGTGGCCCTTTGAGACGCCACCAGGATTAGCACAATGGGCTAATTTAGCTGCCTGACCGCGCAAAGGTCTCAAAGCAGCCAAGGCATTTCAGTGCTTTTTCTTCGAGTCCAATTAACAAGACGTCACACCTCAATCCTGCGTGGCTGGTCACATGTTCCCATTCTGAAGCCACTCACGTTTCTCATCTGAGGTAAAGTTGTGGTGTTTTACAGACGGGCCTTGGCATTGGTTGAAAGAATAGAGATAATTGTCTTTGCATGCCAATTAAGTGGGCAGAACGGCTTGGAGTGAGAAGCAGTGCGCTGACAGGTCTCCAAGAACTGAGCAAACAGATCTCATTCCAACTGTCCAGCAGGGTGCGCCACACCGGGATAGCGGCACGCTGCCAGGGAGACACTACCGCCAGCCTACCAGCACCCTCTCGTTCCTAGGATTAGATGCCACGTGCACATTCAGAGCACGAGAGGCTGACACATGCCCCTAATCGCTTTTCATCATTAAGCCAATATTCAAAAGGCATGGTAATTGGTGTGTGTGGAGGGGGGTGTTTTCTTGGATCCAACAAAGTGTGTATGGAGTAGTGTTAGATACATACCCCCTTGTGCCCCCTTGGGCCAACACCCTCTGCCACCCATGAAATGTCAGACCATGTGAAAACGTCTCTCAAGCTGGGCACCGTGAGAGATCAACGGCTCTGGCGATAAGAAGACGAACAGCTGCAGAAAAGTAATTACAAAACGGGAAACATCCCCGGCACGGATCATTTAGCCCACTAACGACACCTGTGGCGCGGCGGAGACTGACTGCCCGATCTGCCAGCCCGGTGACTGATCGGTGATCGAGAGACATTTGCGCGATGGGATACTTGCAGGCGAAGATCTAGTTGCGCAGTTTATTCCCGGAGTCAAATCGCTAAGCTAAGCTCGGAGTCAAAAGCCGGGTGCGGAAAGGCTAGGCGCTATAAAGACATTGGGGAAAACCAGTCACAAAACAACACGATCAAGAGGTCACACAGGAGAGAAAGCAAGACCATAACTGTCAGACCATAACTTAAGCAAGAGACTCAAGTCCCAAGGCAAGTGCCCTAAGCAATAATGCAGCACAGGTATACACAATTAGAAACCAGCAAAGGCCATTGGGTATCCGGGGGGGGGGGGCACATTGGTGATTACGCTTTGCTGCAATTTAAGCTTGGAAGGCAAGAATTTTATTACACAGTTAAATTTGTTTTTGAGACAAAGGTTGCCATTGACGTCTTTTAACCAGTCCACCT